TTACACATATCATTGGACAGAACTTGAATACTGAAGGTGGCTCACGAAAGATTTTCCCTTGGAATACCTCCTGAACCTTTGCTGAAATTGAAATGCTGTTTTCACTAAAACGAAGGTATGTGAGGGTCACGATTACGTATGTTGTACTCGTGTAATATTAAACAGTAGCTGCTTTAATTTAAGAAATATTGGACCAAATTTGATTTTGATAGGTGGCCTTGTCTCAGCGATCGCGGCAGACACCATTATTTGGTAGGGGTGACACGGAGGAGAACGTTACAGTTCTCCTCGACGATAGTGGCAGAATATTAATAGTCCGAGCAGTGGTAAAAACTGCGAATTTAAGAAAAATATAATGATGTTTCATGTTAATGAATTATATAATATTTAAATAATATGTATATATATATATATATATATATATATATGAACCCGTCTCTTCACGTTCTTTTCATGCATGAAAGATATACACAGGGTTGTCATTTACAGAATAAAAGTTGTCTCTATCTCTTAAATTAAAGAATTTTAATATTATACATCACATGTCCTTTGCATACATTCGTTTTAGTGGAAATCGTGTGCAAAAGTTCACGAGGTATTTGAAGGGAATAGTTTAATTGACTCACCCTGAATAATACTTGTAGATAATGATGTGGTGATTAATATGATATAAAATCTGAGGCCGGATGGTAGTGTAGAATATACAATTGTAAATACAAATAATCTATTGAAGTACGAAATGATCAATGCACAATACTTCTGTCAGAAAATACTGTTGTTACAAATTATCTAGATTACATGGATAACATTCACTTTACAAAACATTTCGTTCATATTAACAGTTGCAAAAAAATAAGCTGGTGACATAAATATCTCAGTAATATTATAGCAAATACCAAGCCGGATTGAAATAGTTAAGAACAAACGAAAAGACAAAGTTAATTTTTTAAAGAGGAGGTTATTTTAAAACATAAGTCTCGTCATCATTTTATAATAAGTCATTTGATTTAGTATTTAATAGAGAAACCTAAGGAATGTTTAAATAAAATAATTTGGGAAAAATAAGGGTACCATCGATTGGCTCTTTCAAGGCTTACATCTCTTCTTTGTTATTTATATTTAAAAGAATTAAAAAATTGTGTGGCATTTGGAGACGGAGAGGAGCTATTTTACATCTTTTCATAAGTGTCATTCATATCTTATTTAGATTTGAACTTTACATTCTTACACAGTCATTCCTTCAATACGTCGCCTACACCAGGGGTCTGCACTCAAACGGCGACCGTTAGATGCCAACGCGCCATCTATTACGACGACCCAGCTAAGAAAGGTTCAAAAAATTTCGAATTGATTGAAATTTTACTGTACACTCTGACAAATAAATTGCTAACCAAAATTTCAAGTCAGTGTTGAGGTATATTTGCAATCAATTTTAATAATACGGAGTCCTGTTAATGTGGAATACCGATTTAAATACATTTTTCGTCTATCCCACCTCCCCAAAAACCTATTCTTCCCAATTCTAGAACTGTATATCAAACGTTATAAGTATATATTCTTCATTACTCATATTTTTATTATGTTGATTACTATGGCATTTCAATGAAATTGTAAAAACAATTTTTGGTTATTATTGTAGTAGATCTAATCTTGAACTTTAAACTTTAATATGCACAGCAAACTAACAAATATATATATATATATATATATATATATATATATATATATATATATGTATATGTATATATATATATGTATTGCGCCACTTTTCGAAATGTTTGTCGACCCCTGCCGCGGAGACTGAGTGAATAATTGAGAAATGCCGCCGGCTTCTTTGAAGAGAAGTCGTCGGGTGTGGAGCAAGCGGCGGCGGAGTGAGGAAGGTGGGGAGGAGAGGCGGGGGCGTGGGGGCGTGTCCCAGCGGTGACAGCAGATGCTCCGCGCGGGGTCGCGTGCGCTTTTGCTCCGCGGGAAGCGGGCTGGGGGACGGGCCGAGCCTCTCAAATGCCAGAGTCCGCGTGCCGGCGCGGCGCGGAGACGAAGAGAAGGGAAAAACGACGGAACGATGGAGACAGACGAACGGAAAGTGGGGACAGGGAAGAGGAGGGAGGGTTACAAAACAGGTGACGAAAAGGTGGAAAGGAGAGTAAATCAGAAGGCACTTAAGAATAAAAAGGATAAATACGAAGAAGGAATAACAAAATAATATGGTATAAATCAGGGTTGTCCAAGTGGCGACCCGCGGTACCGTTTACTGTCGCCCGCGAAAGGTTAGTAGTCGAATGTAAATGACCCTTTCATTCCTTCTGTCGGTCGAGAATATTGAGTGCCTAGCGCACATGCCCCGTCGGGATCATCACGTCCTTATTGTAAAAACAGGTTAAGTTTAAATTTAAGGGTCTTTTTTTCTAATACATTCAGAAATTGAAAATCATACCAATGAGTTCAATGCGTTACGCATGGTATTGCATGATGTAACGCATGGTTCCATTACCCTTTCCGCGATTTCAGAGCAGCCAGGCAAACTGTCGAGATCAATGAGACGGGGTCACGTGTTGGAAGACCGAGTAATATAAATACGGTCCGTAACTATTAAAGTTGGCCCCTGCACGCCAGCTTTGCAAAGTTGGACACCAACGGTATATATATATATATATATGTATATAATATATATTATATATATATATATAATATAATACTAAATGCATTTATAATATACTGTTAAGTGAAATTTTTGCAAACAAACCGAAAGATGAAAAATTAAATGTAACAATACCATCTTGCAGTGGCAGTTTCCGAGGACCTACAGTAACGGCAGCGTATAAGCGACTTTGACAGTTCAATTTGCTGTTGCCACGTATTGCTACACACATGGTTCCACCTACATCAAGGATAAATTAAAACTCAAAACATTAGCACTTACTGACAGGCTAAGACACATGATATTACGTTCATAACTTTCGTCAAAGCTGAAACTTATGGCCTTCGCGACTTCGTGTGGGTCAAATGAGCGGCAACGCTAAACACTGGCTGTGAGAAAGTAAACAAATCTTCGCAAGCTGATTGCTTCAGAGCAGGTCACATGACGTACAGAACGTGACGAAAGAACTGCCAGAGTCTCTTATACGCTGACGGTACTGTAGGCAGGGATCACCGTCTTGTTGGGATTCATTACGTAAATGAAAGTGATTTTTCGAAAACGGACACGATGTGCCGTAGAGGCGCCTGTTTATTTACGGGGACAATTTGTCCTTCCTGAATCCCCCGCACCGCCTGTATTCCGTCCGCATTGCCCTTCATGTATAAAATCCTGCTTCGACCCTTCGCCCGGCAGGGCTCGGACCTCAGTGCACGGTGGACGAGGCGCCGGCGGGCCAAGGCGGTCGTGGTTACCAACGTAGGTTTCCCGGTGCGGTGACGATTGCCTTCGGTGCACAGAAAGAAGGGATGAGAGCGCGGGCAACGGGGCAGTAAATAGTGCTGCAGCTACCCTATCTTTCAACACAATTATTTAAATCTCGAGTTGCGCCAAGGTCAATCACTAACTTCTATTGAACGTAAATTATTTTTATTGGAAGTTTTTGCTCTTTCAAAATGGATTTGCCACATTTTGGGAGTGACACAGCCTCCGTTCAAATGACTGTAGGATTTCCCCTGTTTGTTTGCCGGAGTACACATGAATCACTTCAGACACCAATTTCAATTTAACATCAAATTATTAAATCAAAATCCTTGTAGTTCAACAGCCAAATGCACTCGTGTGGTATTCATGAAATCCTTTTCCCAATATTATTGCCGTGGTAAAATATTGGGAAAAGCATTTAATGTAATTACAGCCGCACCAAACAAGAGGAAAAAGCACTAAACACGAAGTTCTGAATTAGGGAAAGAATATTATCTACCTCTTGTTAAACGATGATTTGTTAACTAACCCTTGCTGACTTCAGCATTCTCATAAAGATTCGTAGCCAGAAGCGATTGTAATCATTCAGTTTATTCATAACGTGGGTGTTTATTCTGGAAATCTGTGTCGATAAATCGCAATATATTGAAAAAAATTGCGAGTTAAAGTGTTATGAATAATTATTATGTTTTATTTCTGTTTATTTTCATTGTGAAGCGGAAGGAGAATATAACCTCTCCCGGAGTAATATAAATAATACTATAATGTCAGTGAACGAGAATTTAGTTGAATAAAGAAAAAAATAGAAAAGAAAATATCTACCAAATTGAATAAAATGGTATCCTAAAAATATGTAGACTACACCAAGGAGAAAGTTGTTGGAAAAATAACAAATAAAGGGTAGAAATTTTTCATGTGAATCCGGTACAGAAAAGCTCTTTTCGTGAAGTGTAAAAGAACTAAGGTAAGAAGAAAAATGCCTACAAAAGAGAGATGAACTCTCAAGAACAAAATGGTGTAAACTGCATCAGTAGAAGACAATATAAAATAGAATAGAGGGCTAAAAATTAAATAAACTAAGAGGAAAGATGCCTGACAATCAGCGAAAAGATGGGAGAAAGTTTTCGTGCGCAGTGGGAAAAGAGGTTTATACCGTGAGATGAAGAAAAAAAGGAGAAGAAAAAGAAGAAGAAGAAAAAGGAGGAGGAGAGGAGAAAAAATAAAGGATGAGAAAACGAAGAAGAAGAAGAAGAAGAAGAAGAAGAGAAAGAGTCTGATCTGATCTGAGCCGAAATGAGAACAGGAACTTCCGCGAAGCCTAGTCTTTAAAGGAGGAGACAGTCTCTGCGTCAGCCGTGGTGGCACGGCGCGCGGGCGAGCCGGCCGGGCGGGCCCGGCGGCGTGGCTGAGCTCGCCGCGTCGCGTCGCCCGAGCCGCCCGCGCACACTCCGCGGCCAGCGTCCGCCCGGCCGGCCGCTCTGGCCGCGCCTGCGGCTCGCTCGCGTCGGAGGCTGGGCGCCGGGCGGCACGTGCGCCAATGCGCGGGGCGGCGCGGCGCGGCGCGCACAAGCGGGCGGCGGGCTCGAGCGAGCGCGCTCGGCCGCCGGAGTGGCGCCGTCGTTCCCGGACGTCGGACGTGTAGCCGCCGCCCTCCCGCACCCGCGTCCTTTCGTCCGCTCGCCGCCGCCGCCGCCGCCGTCGCCCCGCCCGCGGCCGCCGCCGTCGTCTCGCCTGCGCTCGTCCCGTCGTCCTCTCGCCCGGCGTCCCGGCCTGCCTCGCCATGCCTGCTGCTCCGCCGCCGCCCACGTTGCTGGGGTTGGTCTTGGCGTCGCTGGCCGCCGCGCTGCTGTACCCCGTGCCCGTCGCGGACGCCGCTCGCGGTAAGTCCTCCGCAAGTGTTGGATCTCCCCTTCCCCTCCTGCGCTGGAGCTCCGGGGCTTTCGGAGGGAACGGAATAAACGGCGAGAAAAGTTTTGTGCGAACGTCTGGTGCTGTTTTTTTTTTTTTTTTCTTGGGAAAACTTCTTCGTTGCTTCGCTACATGCGCTTAATGTTATGCGGAATTGATTCAACTTGAGAGTCGTGAAGGAAACAGCCGAAATTCTCGGTTAGTGGTGCGAGAGATCCTGATCAGTGGTGGTGCATTGGGGGTTGTTTTTGTTGACGTTTTCGCTGGTTCTTTAATGTGGGTTTATGAGAAAAGAACCATTTCATGAAGAAGCGAAGTGTCATACGTGATATTTAAGGCACAGCAGTGGTATTTTATTCTTAGTATTGAGATTGACAGGAGAGTTGCATAGATTTTTTGATCTTCCATTGTGGAAATCAGGTACCGTTACCACGAAAGTCGAAACGTCAACTAGGACAAATTTAGCAGGGCTGTTATCTCAGCAGCCAAGAACGTAATTTGTCACTCTCTTTACGGTTCGTTTCGAATCGTCATAAAAAGAAAGAAAACCGTCGTCTGGAGTTTGCCGTCGGGAAACATACCTTCCATACTTTTTCCCTCTTGTTCAAACGGTCCGGTGCTGTTATTTGTTATTCGTCTGTTTGTTCGGCGAAGTGTCATCCCCGCACTGTGTTTGACTTACATTTGGCGTTTGTACGTATTTGCCTGCCTCGTTGCTCCTCTTGTTAGCTCGGCGTCGTTCCTCAGCCGGGCTCCGCGGCGCGGGGGTGGTTGAACGGGGCTGCGAAGGCAAGAGACGTTTGTCTGCGGAGACTTCAGCCCCCGGGTCACAATGTCTCGCAAGGTGCGACCTCATCAGAAATTCAATTATTCAGTTCAACCTACTGGCGTCGCATTGGTGTGCAGGTTGGGACGTCCCTCCCTCCCTCTCTCTCTCACCCCATCTCTCGGCCTGGCCCCGTACTTTACTCTTCTCGGTAGTGTACTGTGGTTAACATAATGAATGTGCATATCCTTTCACATTTATACAGTCGCGCACTTGCAACCCAAGCGACGAGACCATTCATTATTTTAATTGAACCAAAACAAAAGCGAAAAGAAAACGAGGAAACCTAGAAGGGGGGAAAGAGAAACGCGGATTATTGGCGAATTGCTTGCCAAAAGTTCGCAGTGGAATCTAAAGGGTTGGGGGGGAGGGGGCTTTGGCGGAATGCGCGAGGAGGGGTTATCGCTGCAGTTGCGAGGTCGTGCGATCGCAGTCTTCTAGACCGTTCGGAAGCAGCGAGCGAGCGAGCGAGCGAGCGAGCGAACGAACGAACCAACCGCTGTTCTCCAGGAGCGTTGCTGCTGCTGCTGCTGATGCCGATGCCGCCGCCGCAGCCGAGGATTACCGACTCGGCGGCGACTGCGGCGACAGAGACCCTGGGTGCAAAGCCGCGAGCCGATAACTTGTGTGACCTTCGAGAATTCTCGCCCTCGAGGGATATCTCGCTGCGCGATGCTCCGCTGTCATCGGGTTTCGGGTTGTAGTTGGTTGTCATTTTCGGGGAGGATTTGTTTGCGAAGATTCACCCGCAGTCATCGTCGTCGCCGGGAATGTTCAGCTTTCGTAGAGCATATCCATCGCTGGTGAGCATGTTTCAAGGGCTAGGGGTCTCATTTTCGCTGTCGGTTTATGAACAGGTTGGCATTCAAAAATATGAGGACGTAGTAAACTCTAACAATCATAGCAATTTTGATTTTTTTGTATAATTGAAGGGCTTGGTGATTAGAGATATAGCCAGAGGCAGAAATCAGCCACACCAAGTCTGCCAATATTCGTAAATGCTAGTATCTGCATTTTGGGTAAAGTGTGGCTTAACGTGTTATGTTTGACTTTTATACTTAAGATAGAATAATGGTAGTACCACGATGACGCACTTTGATTAAAGTAAGACGTTAATATTAACAAATTTTAATTTATATTTACATATAGGTCATAGGCAATAGGTCAGCTGCGAATGGTGTGGCTTATATGCGCGTTACTGCGCTGAGCCCTTCAACTGAAAGTTCTACGCTCGAATCAAGAAAATCTTCATTGAATGATTTGTAGAAATAGACTTTTTGACCTAAAATTTGATAGAGTGGGCACAGTTTTATGCTCGGTACGTTTTTTTGTTTTTCAAGGATATCGATTTTTGAAAACTTCTTTTTAGGTCACAAAGAATAAAAGCTCCTCAACCTTGAGTTAATTCTATGCTAAACATCCGTTGGATGACTATCCAGGCTTCATAGTAATTTAATGACAAGCTTCTGCTCTACACGTTTCAAATGCGTGTTAATCATAAAATGTTGCATAGCATTGATTGCTGTAACTGAGCGCTTCAAGGCATTCTGATCACATTGTTTTGAACTCGCAACATTCACTGCCATTGTGATTGTAGACTAAGGATTTATCCAAAAAAGAGGACGAATAAACGCATCCTTGTATCTCTTCAGGGAAACATTTGAGACAGTTTACTTAAAAAAAATACATAAAGCCTTACATTTAAAACTTCATGCAGTAGAGATGCTTGTGATCCAAATGGTCTGTTAATGTTGTACGTACATTACAGGTTACTTCATTTATGTCAAACGCATACCAGACAATATTAACATTTGTACATTTACTTAAACGTGCGTATTAAATAACTTGGTACAGCTGATGTTGAAGCGGGATTGCAAAACCGCGACAAATCGTAGTCGTCATTCAGTTCTGAAGTAAATAGCGCTCACTCCGTTCCGGCACAGCATTCGAAAAACTCAAGTTTTTTGCTTCTATGAATTAATTGAAAAAAGTTCATTTCGTGTGAGTAATTTTGAAGGAATATGCAAGATTTAAAGAAAAGCAATCGTTCTTGGAGATCATATTGCCGAAAATGTTCATGTTAATGTTTTAAAAAATATAACTCTATCCCCATGTGAATATTCGCAATATTCACGTGACTCATTTATATCTCTTTTGCCACATTTATTGAGAGTTTCAAAGTTTTTCAAATTACTACAAATATGCAAAATCATGTGTATAATCTGGGATTTGCGTTGACATCTTACAATTTCTTCAGAATTGCTTTTCCTTTTTTGTAAAATTGTATCTGGGCTCCGGAATCTCCATTACATTCACTGTGATAGTAGAAGACTTATAGTTGCAAAATACTATGGGTGTATGTCTATTTTTTGCATTTTAAAGCACCCGAAATAAATTATTGTCTTTTTAATTGGAGAAGAGTTTCAGAACAGTCTCTTGGGACTCTTTTGTTTTACTGCCCTGCATGTTAATCTTCATTTATTTGAATACCACTCGTTTCTGAACAGATTTTAAAACTAATTTTTTCAATCAATGCATCGATTGCCGCTTACTTTTTTTGGCTTAAACGTTCTGACAAACCTCCACCATTAGTGGCAGACGAGTGCTATGAATCTGGAACTCTTTACGGCGGACGCCATATTGAAAAGATTCCGAGAGTGCTAGTGAAGGAACGGGACTGGCTGACCCACTGATCTTCCTTTTATGACCAATAAGGGAACCGCAACGGCGCCAGGAAAGGACGGAAGAATTGAAGAGAAGAAAAATGTGGGAAAAGAATGAGGTGATATTAACTTGTATGATGAGACGTCGATGATAAGAATGAAGTATTTGAGGGTCCCCCCCCCCAAGTTGTACTTCTTCTTTTTACTACCTACTCCTTTAGAATGAAGGGTCTCTTCGATAGATGGAATAAATGAAAAATGGTGGAGATGTGTCTAGAAAAGCGAGGTCATCAGATCAGGTCATTTTCTGCGCTATTTTCTCTCGACAGTGGTGGGATGTGATCGCCAATGCAGTCGTTAATGCGAGTTTCTTCAAATGAAAATAATCACTTTGATATTTTTTCGTAGATCCTCCATCATCCTGCGTCAATCTCGATTGAAAAATTCAAAATTTCTTTACTTCTTTGTTTATATAATGTAGTAACTTCCCTCCAAGTGTTACAATTCGATTCGTGAGGCCGTAATATAAATTATTACGAAGCTAAATTTCTGTATTGGAATCACGTTTATTTTGTCAACTAAGACGACGAACCCCGAAAATAACAACTTACTACAATCCAACAGAAGTTTATGAATTATTCCCTACTAACCCTACCAGTTCTCTTCTTTGGTATCAGCAAGTTAAAAATCTAACCTTAAAAAAAGGTTGGGGCTTGATGCAAACGACTTAGTAAAATGTTAATAACTGTTTTGTTTCTTGTGATCATTGTTTCAATACAATTCCATTTAATAATCCAAAGTTTTCAAAGAAGCGTCTTGCCAATTAGTAATCGAAACCGGGCCTTGTGGTTTACGGCTGGTAGCTCTATTCACTGAGCAATCGAAACAACCAATTCTTCGAACGGTTTCTTAGGTCTGAGATGTTGCCCCTTATATGATATTCAATTGTCACCACCTGTCACCATTTTTTGTAAGGAAATTAGGTCGGAAATGTATTCCGCATAGTAAATATTTCTTACTATGTGATCTTGTTAATGGGTTACAACTGAATTTTAATCATTCAAATTGACAAGGAGGTTACAATTGAGCATTTCACTTAACTTTATGTTGTTAACTATGTTTAAATATAAGCCATAGTTTGAGAGATTTAGCTTGATAATAGACGAATTCACGTTCATATAATTCTGAAATTGTGAGGCATGAATTAATAGCAATTGCAATTTTGAGGCATGAATTAATAGCAATTAATAACTCTGATCTATTTGTTCAACTTCGGAACATTTTCTTTCTATAATAACGTATTATAGATATTAATATATTATAAATATTTTACTTAAATGGAGTTTTTTGTAAAAATAAAAGGCCTACAATTGGGCAGTGATATAAAAGAATACACGACGCGTCGAGCAATGTTGCGTCAAATTCTTGCGTTGGTTTTGCTTCCGACAGTGGTCGATATTAAATTTGTAGTATCTGTGATGAAGACTCTTACATTGATTTTCTGAATAGAATGTGTCGGTATTGATTGATGACTTGTGTTTGAAACATAGGTACGCACACACTCTGCTCCCGAAAAAACAACTTTCTTCTATCAGTAATGAAATTAAATATCAGTAATGTCTATGTCTATACATGGTACATTAATTAGTTAGACTTTCATGAAAACATATCATAAATATAAACACATTTTCAATGGATTGTGGTTTGTTCATACTATTCCCAAAAGTGAGAATTCATATGGAAATCAGTATTGTACGAAAAACTTGCGTGTTTACAATAAGTCACGGTCCATTGTGACCTCCACATTTCAATAAGGACTACTTTGTTTTACTATTTCGTTTTATTTAGCACATATTCCTGTATTTTCTTTTACAAATTCATTTTCTTTCAGTGATACATTCAAAGCTGAAATAATATTAGTTTTGTCCTCAAATAAGCTGGGATCATTCGCCTTTGTTCTTGAAAGATGTAAATACCTTATTGAAAGTAATTACAATATTTTTTTCTGTCACGTACAGAATAAATGTACAAACGAAGTGGATGTATATATTACACTGCTCGTTACGAAAAATGGTTAAAAAACGTTCTTGTGAACGTACGTTACTGAGCACACCGTTTTCGTCTCTTCATTGAATTAAATTTAGCGCCCAGTGCACATAAAGAAGTAACTAGCGTAATTTCTATCATAGCTCGCGCACAGAAGCGGCCCTTGCATCATGCTACCTTACGTAGTTCTCTCTCTCACCTACAGAGGTCGCCTCGCTCTCTGATGGGTAGTTCATTAATGTTCACGTATGTCTCTCTCCGCGCAAAGCAATAACTAGGCTTTAGAAGTCTGGCATGTCTGTGTGGCGGGTGGCCCGGCCGGCACGCGTGGCTGGCTTTGGAACCACGGCGCCAGCTTTGGACAACGGGGTGGCAGAGGGCGGGCTCCGGGAGAAGAGATGAGTTGGTGGAAACGGTGAAGCATAGCGACAGAATTTGCAAGGGTCGGCAAAAGGAAATAAGCGAGTACGATGGGATTGTGGTGACGGCGGAGGCGGAGGTAACGGCCAGATCGACGACGAGAAGCATGGCGGGGGCGGCGGGGTAGTTGGTGATGGCGAGACGGCGGAAGCGACGAGAACGGTGACGACGGCGGGGGCGGGGGCGGTGGTGACGGCGAGGAATGCGAGGGCGTCGGACGTGGAAACAGTAGGGTGTGGGACGGCAGGGACGATGAAGGAATGGCGAGACGGCGGAATCGACTAGGGCGGTGAGGAACGGCGGGATGGCAGAGACGGTGGAGGTGGCGGGGCGGGATAGGTGGGGTACGGCTGGGATGGTGAGGTCGACGAGGACGGAGGAATGGAAAGACTGGGGGGCGGCGTTGGCAGGTTGGGGACGGCTGGGATGGCGAGGATGGCCAGGACTGCGAGGACGGCGGTTGGATACGTCGCGCAAGGCGGGCGACGACGCGAGGATGCGCTTTTGCCCGGAGGCGGAGGGCGTTGGCGAGGGCCGTGGTGAGGCGCAGCCCCCGTATGCCCGCCCCGGCAATT